AGAGGGGAGAGGGAGGGCAGAGAGTTGATTCGACTCGAGTGGCTTGCTGCAGGGACACGAGCACACAAGCACGAGCGCGTGAGCCAGGCGCAGCACCATTGTCACCAGACGCCACCTGGAGTGATGGTGGTGTGGAGGACAGAGGGGAGAGGGAGGGCAGAGAGTTGATTCGACTCGAGTGGCTTGCTGCAGGGACACGAGCACACAAGCACGAGCGCGTGAACCAGGCGCAGCACCATTGTCACCAGATGCCACCTGGAGTGATGGTGGTGTGGAGGACAGAGGGGAGAGGGAGGGCAGAGAGTTGATTCGACTCGAGTGGCTTGCTGCAGGGACACGAGCACACGAGCACGAGCGCGTGAGCCAGGCGCAGCACCATTGTCACCAGATGCCACCTGGAGTGATGGTGGTGTGGAGGACAGAGGGGAGAGGGAGGGCAGAGAGTTGATTCGACTCGAGTGGCTTGCTGCAGGGACACGAGCACACGAGCACGAGCGCGTGAGCCAGGCGCAGCACCATTGTCACCAGATGCCACCTGGAGTGATGGTGGTGTGGAGGACAGAGGGGAGAGGGAGGGCAGAGAGTTGATTCGACTCGAGTGGCTTGCTGCAGGGACACGAGCACACAAGCACGAGCGCGTGAACCAGGCGCAGCACCATTGTCACCAGACGCCACCTGGAGTGATGGTGGTGTGGAGGACAGAGGGGAGAGGGAGGGCAGAGAGTTGATTCGACTCGAGTGGCTTGCTGCAGGGACACGAGCACACAAGCACGAGCGCGTGAACCAGGCGCAGCACCATTGTCACCAGATGCCACCTGGAGTGATGGTGGTGTGGAGGACAGAGGGGAGAGGGAGGGCAGAGAGTTGATTCGACTCGAGTGGCTTGCTGCAGGGACACGAGCACACAAGCACGAGCGCGTGAACCAGGCGCAGCACCATTGTCACCAGATGCCACCTGGAGTGATGGTGGTGTGGAGGACAGAGGGGAGAGGGAGGGCAGAGAGTTGATTCGACTCGAGTGGCTTGCTGCAGGGACACGAGCACACAAGCACGAGCGCGTGAGCCAGGCGCAGCACCATTGTCACCAGACGCCACCTGGAGTGATGGTGGTGTGGAGGACAGAGGGGAGAGGGAGGGCAGAGAGTTGATTCGACTCGAGTGGCTTGCTGCAGGGACACGAGCACACAAGCACGAGCGCGTGAGCCAGGCGCAGCACCATTGTCACCAGACGCCACCTGGAGTGATGGTGGTGTGGAGGACAGAGGGGAGAGGGAGGGCAGAGAGTTGATTCGACTCGAGTGGCTTGCTGCAGGGACACGAGCACACAAGCACGAGCGCGTGAACCAGGCGCAGCACCATTGTCACCAGATGCCACCTGGAGTGATGGTGGTGTGGAGGACAGAGGGGAGAGGGAGGGCAGAGAGTTGATTCGACTCGAGTGGCTTGCTGCAGGGACACGAGCACACGAGCACGAGCGCGTGAGCCAGGCGCAGCACCATTGTCACCAGATGCCACCTGGAGTGATGGTGGTGTGGAGGACAGAGGGGAGAGGGAGGGCAGAGAGTTGATTCGACTCGAGTGGCTTGCTGCAGGGACACGAGCACACGAGCACGAGCGCGTGAGCCAGGCGCAGCACCATTGTCACCAGATGCCACCTGGAGTGATGGTGGTGTGGAGGACAGAGGGGAGAGGGAGGGCAGAGAGTTGATTCGACTCGAGTGGCTTGCTGCAGGGACACGAGCACACAAGCACGAGCGCGTGAACCAGGCGCAGCACCATTGTCACCAGACGCCACCTGGAGTGATGGTGGTGTGGAGGACAGAGGGGAGAGGGAGGGCAGAGAGTTGATTCGACTCGAGTGGCTTGCTGCAGGGACACGAGCACACAAGCACGAGCGCGTGAACCAGGCGCAGCACCATTGTCACCAGATGCCACCTGGAGTGATGGTGGTGTGGAGGACAGAGGGGAGAGGGAGGGCAGAGAGTTGATTCGACTCGAGTGGCTTGCTGCAGGGACACGAGCACACAAGCACGAGCGCGTGAGCCAGGCGCAGCACCATTGTCACCAGACGCCACCTGGAGTGATGGTGGTGTGGAGGACAGAGGGGAGAGGGAGGGCAGAGAGTTGATTCGACTCGAGTGGCTTGCTGCAGGGACACGAGCACACAAGCACGAGCGCGTGAACCAGGCGCAGCACCATTGTCACCAGATGCCACCTGGAGTGATGGTGGTGTGGAGGACAGAGGGGAGAGGGAGGGCAGAGAGTTGATTCGACTCGAGTGGCTTGCTGCAGGGACACGAGCACACGAGCACGAGCGCGTGAGCCAGGCGCAGCACCATTGTCACCAGATGCCACCTGGAGTGATGGTGGTGTGGAGGACAGAGGGGAGAGGGAGGGCAGAGAGTTGATTCGACTCGAGTGGCTTGCTGCAGGGACACGAGCACACAAGCACGAGCGCGTGAACCAGGCGCAGCACCATTGTCACCAGACGCCACCTGGAGTGATGGTGGTGTGGAGGACAGAGGGGAGAGGGAGGGCAGAGAGTTGATTCGACTCGAGTGGCTTGCTGCAGGGACACGAGCACACAAGCACGAGCGCGTGAACCAGGCGCAGCACCATTGTCACCAGATGCCACCTGGAGTGATGGTGGTGTGGAGGACAGAGGGGAGAGGGAGGGCAGAGAGTTGATTCGACTCGAGTGGCTTGCTGCAGGGACACGAGCACACAAGCACGAGCGCGTGATCCAGGCGCAGCACCATTGTCACCAGACGCCACCTGGAGTGATGGTGGTGTGGAGGACAGAGGGGAGAGGGAGGGCAGAGAGTTGATTCGACTCGAGTGGCTTGCTGCAGGGACACGAGCACACAAGCACGAGCGCGTGAACCAGGCGCAGCACCATTGTCACCAGATGCCACCTGGAGTGATGGTGGTGTGGAGGACAGAGGGGAGAGGGAGGGCAGAGAGTTGATTCGACTCGAGTGGCTTGCTGCAGGGACACGAGCACACGAGCACGAGCGCGTGAGCCAGGCGCAGCACCATTGTCACCAGATGCCACCTGGAGTGATGGTGGTGTGGAGGACAGAGGGGAGAGGGAGGGCAGAGAGTTGATTCGACTCGAGTGGCTTGCTGCAGGGACACGAGCACACAAGCACGAGCGCGTGAACCAGGCGCAGCACCATTGTCACCAGATGCCACCTGGAGTGATGGTGGTGTGGAGGACAGAGGGGAGAGGGAGGGCAGAGAGTTGATTCGACTCGAGTGGCTTGCTGCAGGGACACGAGCACACAAGCACGAGCGCGTGAACCAGGCGCAGCACCATTGTCACCAGATGCCACCTGGAGTGATGGTGGTGTGGAGGACAGAGGGGAGAGGGAGGGCAGAGAGTTGATTCGACTCGAGTGGCTTGCTGCAGGGACACGAGCACACGAGCACAAGCGCGTGAGCCAGGCGCAGCACCATTGTCACCAGATGCCACCTGGAGTGATGGTGGTGTGGAGGACAGAGGGGAGAGGGAGGGCAGAGAGTTGATTCGACTCGAGTGGCTTGCTGCAGGGACACGAGCACACAAGCACGAGCGCGTGAACCAGGCGCAGCACCATTGTCACCAGATGCCACCTGGAGTGATGGTGGTGTGGAGGACAGAGGGGAGAGGGAGGGCAGAGAGTTGATTCGACTCGAGTGGCTTGCTGCAGGGACACGAGCACACAAGCACGAGCGCGTGAACCAGGCGCAGCACCATTGTCACCAGATGCCACCTGGAGTGATGGTGGTGTGGAGGACAGAGGGGAGAGGGAGGGCAGAGAGTTGATTCGACTCGAGTGGCTTGCTGCAGGGACACGAGCACACAAGCACGAGCGCGTGAACCAGGCGCAGCACCATTGTCACCAGACGCCACCTGGAGTGATGGTGGTGTGGAGGACAGAGGGGAGAGGGAGGGCAGAGAGTTGATTCGACTCGAGTGGCTTGCTGCAGGGACACGAGCACACAAGCACGAGCGCGTGAACCAGGCGCAGCACCATTGTCACCAGATGCCACCTGGAGTGATGGTGGTGTGGAGGACAGAGGGGAGAGGGAGGGCAGAGAGTTGATTCGACTCGAGTGGCTTGCTGCAGGGACACGAGCACACGAGCACGAGCGCGTGAGCCAGGCGCAGCACCATTGTCACCAGATGCCACCTGGAGTGATGGTGGTGTGGAGGACAGAGGGGAGAGGGAGGGCAGAGAGTTGATTCGACTCGAGTGGCTTGCTGCAGGGACACGAGCACACGAGCACAAGCGCGTGAGCCAGGCGCAGCACCATTGTCACCAGATGCCACCTGGAGTGATGGTCAGGAGTAGAGAGGCAGAGAGGCACAGACGAGAGACCATGATGGGGAGAGGAGAGACGCATAGGTGGAAGACACAGAGATAGAGAGAAGTTGGGAGAGACGAAAAGGAGGAAGGAGTCTTGCTTCTTGTTTTCAACACGGCTAGAGAAGAGCATGTTTTGGGGGGCATCAGCACGCTGCTTGAGAATTCTCAGAAAACATACTCAGGAAGGAATATTGCTTAGTCGAGTTCATTGTTTTCAACACGGCTAGAGAAGTGGGTATCAGCATACCGCTAAGGCTGTGCACTTTAACTCCTAAGCCTCCTCCACTCACCCACAATAGTGGGTTGGGAAGGGTACCCACATTCGCGCTTGTCTCGCTCTGGCAAACCGAATCTCTGGCGAAAGAGGTTGGATGAGATGAGAGGGCATCAGAGGCGTGCCCTTCCCAACCTTTTGAGTCGACTCACCCTCACCCTTTCTCAAAAGTTATTCCCTTACCCTCACCACAGTTGATCACAACAGCACCACCACTCACCACCAGAAGTCGCGCTTGTACCGCTCTGTGAGCCACCCGAATCTCTGGAGGAAGAGGTTGGAGGAGAGGGCGTCAGAGGCGTGCCCTTCCCAACCCATTACTGCCTATACCCCACAGTCTCACCACACCACCACCACTTTGAATCCCCACTCACCACCAGAAGTCGCGCTTGTACCGCTCCGTGAGCCACCCGAATCTCTGGCGGAAGAGATTGGAGGAGAGGGCGTCGGAGGCGTGTGCGTCGAGCAGCAGGAAGGCGAAGAAGAGGGGCAGGCCGAGGAGGTAGATGATGGAGACGAGCAGCGATACGGTGAACATGCCGATGTGCGCCGATGAAAACCATGCTATCTGCGGTGCTGCTGCCATCAGCACCGCGTTTCCCACTGTCATTGACTGGGGGGAGGGAAGGCGGGGGAAGGAGGGAGGGGGGAAGAGGGGGGGAGAAAGGGGGAAAGAGGGAAGGGGATGGGAGAGGGAGCGGGAGAGGGCGTCTTAGGCGGGCGGGCAGCAGGAAGGCGAAGAAGAGGGGCAGGCCGAGGAGGTAGACGATGGAGACGAGCAGCGACACGGTGAACATGCCGATGTGCGCCGATGAAAACCATGCTATCTGCGGCGCTGCTGCCATCAGCACCGCATCCCCCACTGTCATTGACTGGGAGGAGGGAAGGCGGGGGAAGGAGGGAGGGGGGAAGAGGGGGGGAGAAAGGGGGAAAGAGGGAAGGGGATGGGAGAGGGAGCGGGAGAGGGCGTCTTAGGCGGGCGGGCAGCAGGAAGGCGAAGAAGAGGGGCAGGCCGAGGAGGTAGACGATGGAGACGAGCAGCGACACGGTGAACATGCCGATGTGCGCCGATGAAAACCATGCTATCTGCGGCGCTGCTGCCATCAGCACCGCATCCCCCACTGTCATTGACTGGGGGGAGGGAAGGCGGGGGAAGGAGGGAGGGGGGAAGAGGGGGGGAGAAAGGGGGAAAGAGGGAAGGGGATGGGAGAGGGAGCGGGAGAGGGCGTCTTAGGCGGGCGGACAGCAGGAAGGCGAAGAAGAGGGGCAGGCCGAGGAGGTAGACGATGGAGACGAGCAGCGACACGGTGAACATGCCGATGTGCGCCGATGAAAACCATGCTATCTGCGGCGCTGCTGCCATCAGCACCGCGTCTCCCACTGTCATGGACTGGGGGTGGGGGGGAGGGAGGGGAGAAGGTGGGGAGGGTGAGAGAGAGGACGAGGGGGAGGGGGAGGAAGACGGTATGAGATGCGTGTGCATCATGCTGTTGCCATCAGCACTGTGTAGCGAGGTTGTTTTTGAGACGTCTCAAATCGATTTTTGAGTCGACTCAAAAACAACCTCGCTGCACATGTGTGTGCATCATGCTGTTGCCATCAGCACTGTCATGAGATGGGCAAAAGGGGGGGAGGGGGTTGGGGGGAGTGGGGGGGAACCATCTCTGAAACACCAAAGCGGCAAGTGAAATCCATGTGATGTGATCAATGGTAGTGCTACAATCACACCATTGATCAATGAGGTCAATCCGGTCAATGAGGTGCGGATAGTAGCGTGCGTGCTCTACGTGTCAAGTACACGGAGAGCACGCGGACCATCACGGACACATAGCAGAGGTCCAGCCACTTGAGAGCGACACATGCACGATGCAGTCAATGCAGTCAATGCAGTCAATGCAGTCAATGTGATTGTAGGTGGCATTACCTTGTACACAGACAGAACGCGGACCATCACTGAGACGTAGCACAGGTCCAGCCACTTGAGCGACGCGTGGACAATCGAGTTCTCATACTCGTTATAAGCTCTCCTCCTTGTCACCGAGCGCATGAGCCGCGCCTGCGGGTTGGGCCCGCGGGTCCACGAGTAGATGTGCGACCACGTGGTGCCACCCCACCAGCGGTGCCGCGCGTACAGCAGCGCGTAAACGAAGAGGCCTATAACGGGGATGAAGATCCCCAGGTAGAACTTGGAGATGAAGGTGTAGTTGAATATGCACTGCGGGCCTATGGCGTCCTGTTGACGGGTGGGGGAGTGGGGAGGTGAAGGGTGTTGGGAAGCGGGAAACGTCAGGAGGGAGGTGGGGAGATGAAACTCCGGAGATGAAGGTGTAGTTGAATATGCACTGCGGGCCGATGGCGTCCTGTTGGGGGGGGGGGAGGGGGGGAGGGGGATGAAATGTTTTGAGACGTCTCAAAACAAATCTTCATACACGTAGGTGTAGTTGAATATGCACTGCGGGCCGATGGCGTCCTGTTGACGGGTGGGGGGAGGGGGTGAGGCGGATGGAATGGAGTGTAAGGAGAGGGAAGCGGAGGTGGAGTTTGACGTTGAAGGAGGTGATTATGACTTGCAGCTGCACAGCTGATAAGCGCAACCGAGCCACACAGAACCGCACTGCACCACACGCCACAGCATCCCACCTCACCACACCGCACTGCACACCTCCTTACCGGGTCAAAAACCGCGAAGTTGCAGATCTTGACTAGAGTCTGCACCCAGCGGTCGGGGTAGTTGAGGTTGAAGGAGGCGATCATGACAAGCAGCTGCAGGTCGTTCATAACCGCACCCAAACCACACACCACTGCACTGCGCCATACACAACCACACCACACCACACTGCACACCTCTGAATTCCATCTCACCGGGTCAAATACTGCAAAGTTGTAGATTTTCACGAGAGTCTGCACCCAGCGGTCAGGGTAGTTGAGGTTGAAAGAGGCGATCATGACTAGCAGTTGGAGATCATTGAGAAAGATGTCCATGCTGCTGAATGTGTCGGCGAGAATGTTCATTCCCATCCACGCTAGGATGACCAGGATGAGCAGCAGCGGGAAGACCTGGGGAAGGTGGGAAGGGAGGGAGGGGAGAGCAGCAAGGAAGAGAGGAGGTTGAAAGAGGCGATCATGACTAGCAGTTGGAGATCATTGAGAAAGATGTCCATGCTGCTGAATGTGTCGGCGAGAATGTTCATTCCCATCCACGCTAGGATGACCAGGATGAGCAGCAGTGGGAAAACCTGGGGGGGAGGCCGAAGGAAGGGAGGAAAGGGCAGGGGAGAAGAAGCAGTGAGCATGTGTATCTACCCAAGTGAGACTGTGTTTTCCTAGATAAAGCGCACACTTACCCTCGTGAGAGTGCTGCTGCACTGAGTGCACTGCTGCAGCACGAGGAAATAGCCGTCCACACACCCCGCACACGTGCTGTGGTTGGGGGTTGACAGGGGGACACGAATAGGAGAGAGAATGTGGGGGACAAGGTGAGAGAGACAGAGGGGGAGAAGCAGCACTGAGTGCACTGCTGCAGCACGAGGAAGTAGCCGTACATACACCCCGCACACGTGCTGTGGTGGGGGGTTGGGTTAAGAGTACGAGAAGTAGAAAGAATGAGAGGGGCAGGTGGGCAAAACACTGAGTGCACTGCTGCAGCACGAGCAAGTAGCCGTCCATACACCCCGCACACGTGCTGTGGTGGGGTGGTTGAGGGCAGGGGGAACAAGAAAGAGAGAGGTGTGTGGAGGTGTAAAGGAGAGAGCAAAAGGGAGGGGAGGGCAATGCGCACTAATGGCCGATATTCTCATCCCACAGTGCACCCAGGACCCCACCAGCAGCAGCTGCACTCACGGGATGGACTCGTCGTAGCCCTGCTGGCATTGAACCATCACGCCCTGGGCAGTGGTCTGCCCCCACTGCTGGTTATACTCGTACCCCGCACACCCATCCGCCACCAGACAGCTGTACGTGGTAGGGGTGTTGTTCAGCGACTGAAGATCCAGCCAGCCAGCCCTGCTCTCATACCCCACTGTTGGTTCTGCCTCTGCCCTGCCCTACCCCCTGCCCTACCCCCTGCCCTACCCCCTGCCCTACCCCCTGCCCTACCCCCTGCCCTACCCCCTGCCCTACCCCCTGCCCTACCCCCTGCCCTACCCCCTGCCCTACCCCCTGCCCTACCCCCTGCCCTACCCCCTGCCCTACCCCCTGCCCTACCCTCTGCCCTACCCTCTGCCCCACACTCTCAGGCACTTAACCCCCAGTGGCTGCACTCACGGGTTGGACTCGTCGTAGCCCTGCTGGCACTGGATCATGTCCCCCTGCGGGGACACTCAGGTCAGGCCCTTCCCAGCACCCCCAACCCCAGCAGCTGCACTCACGGAATGCTCTCGTCGTAGCCCTGCTGGCACTGGATCATGTCCCCTTGAGCGGTCGTCTGCCCCCACTGCTCGTTAGACTCATACCCCGCACACCCATCCGCCACCAGACAGCTGTACGTGGTAGGGGTGTTATTCAGCGACTGCAGGTCCAGCCAGCTCGTACCCCACTGTTGGTACTCCCTCAGCCCTACCCTCTGCCCCACACGCTCAGGCACTTACCTTACCCCCAGTGGAAACACTCACGGGATGGACTCGTCGTAGCCCTGCTGGCACTGCACCATGACTCCCTGGGCAGTCGTCTGCCCCCACTGCTCGTTGTACTCGTACCCCGCACACCCATCCGCCACCAGACAGCTGTACGTGGTAGGGGTGTTGTTCAGCGACTGCAGGTCCAGCCAGCTCGTACCCCACTGTTGGTACTCCCTCAGCCCTACCCTCTGCCCCACACGCTCAGGCACTTACCTTACCCCCAGTGGAAACACTCACGGGATGGACTCGTCGTAGCCCTGCTGGCACTGCGCCATGACTCCCTGGGCAGTCGTCTGCCCCCACTGCTCGTTGTACTCGTACCCCGCACACCCATCCGCCACCAGACAGCTGTACGTGGTAGGGGTGTTGTTCAGCGACTGCAGGTCCAGCCAGCTCGTACCCCACTGTTGGTACTCCCTCAGCCCTACCCTCTGCCCCACACGCTCAGGCACTTACCTTACCCCCAGTGGAAACACTCACGGGATGGACTCGTCGTAGCCCTGCTGGCACTGCACCATGACTCCCTGGGCAGTCGTCTGCCCCCACTGCTCGTTGTACTCGTACCCCGCACACCCATCCGCCACCAGACAGCTGTACGTCGTAGGGGTGTTGTTCAGAGACTGCAGGTCCAGCCAGCTCTGGTACCCCACGGTGAGGATGCCGCAGGTGCAGTCGAGGTTGTCGTCGGTGCAGGGAGTGCATTGGGAGGGGGAGGTGGCTCGCGGGTAGAAGGAGAAGAACCCGTCCGGACAGGGCTGCATGGGCTGCCCTGCCTCACACCTGGGGGGCGCGGGTGACAAGGGGGGAGGCCTCTGATAATAATAATAATAATTATAATTATAGTAACAATAACATAAATAATAATAAACACACACACGTGCGCAGAACAACATAAAAAACACACAAAACAAAACAAAACCAAACCAGCAAACAGATCTTGCATTTTTCTTCAGCTCACCAGTGGCCAACTAAGCAATCGTCGCAGGTGAGCGAGGTGGCATTGAGGAACTCGCCCGCAGAGCAGAAGGAGATGTTGAACGCACGGGTGACGGGGGGGAAGGCGTTGGCGGGCGAAGAGAGGGTCACCGTGACCTCGAACGACTGGGCTTCCTCTGGTGTGACCTGCATGGGGATGGGGTGATAGAGGAAAGACGAGCGAGGAGGTGAATGCAGGAGAAAATGGGAAAGCAGAAGAGTGAACAGATGACTGAGGTTACAGTGAGCGTCACAGGAGGGCCACAGTGACCTCACTCTCCCTCTTGCGCTCACCCCCGTTTCCCACGCAGCCAGCGACGTGCTGTCCTCCTGCGCTACCAACTCGCCCTCTTGCACGCACCTGGATGCCGATGGAAGGGATGGTGATGACGCCATTGGCAGCAGTTCCCCTTAAATCACCGCTGATGCGGCTGTCAGGGGACACAGCAGCCAGCGACGTGCTGTCCTGCGCCACGCTCTGGTTGAGTGCGTCCAGGACGAGAACCTGCAGCCCCTCTATGCGTGACCCGACCGCTGCCCGCACCACAAAAGGCTCGCCCTTCGCGTTCACCATGCTGGAGTCCTCCTCCCTGCCCGGCCACCTGCGGGGGAAGTGGGGATTAGGAGCACGGGTAATCAGGAGGGAGCGGGCTTTTGAGTGGGCTCAGCAGAGTGGTGCTGGGTGGGGAGAGAGAGCCAGAGAGGGTAGCAGCAGAGCAGAGGTGTTGTGCTGTCCTGCGCCACGCTCTGGTTGAGTGCGTCCAGCACAAGCACCTGCAGCCCCTCTATGCGCGCCCCCACTGCCGCCCGCACCACAAACGCCTCTCCCCTCGCATTCACCATGCTTGATTCCTCTTCTTTGCCCCGCCACCTGAGGGGGATGTGGGGGGGGTAGTAGGGGTATACTTTCTCACTCTCCCTCACACCACTCCCTCACTCTCCCTCACACCACTTCCTCACTCTCCCTCACACCACTCCCTCACTCTCGCTCACACCCCATTCTCACTCACTTAATGGAGAAGCCATTGGGTGTCGCCCGCCCCTCTAAACGTACACCCCTCGCACTGCGAGCGCAGGTGGCGGTGGGTGGTGGCCTCAAAGACGAAGTTTGAAATGCCTCAAAAGCCTCTCTGGCACTCACGTTCGGGAGAAGGGTGCCCTCTGTTCTGAGGCGATTCACAAGCACTCTTACACCAATCAAGCAGCACTCACTTGATGGAGAAGCCAGCGGGCATGGTGCCTTGGGTGTCGCCCGCCCCTCGGAACGCACACCCCTCACAGAGCGAGCGCAGGTGGCGGTGGGTGGTGGCCTCAAAGAAGGCCGCTGCCTGCCGGTACAGCGCGCTGTTGCCCTCAAAGCTCAGCTGCTTCACCACCAGCCGCCCCTCACCTTGCTGCCCCAGCCCCGGCCCTTGCTGCTGCTGCTGCTGCTGCTGCTGCTGCTGCTGCCCCTGTCCCTGCTGCCCCTGCTGCTGTAACTGCCGGCCTCCACCTGAATTCCCACCTGAGCCACCTGCTCCGCCAGAGCCTGCTGCCCCTGTTTTTTCTGCTGCCTCTGAGGCACCCAGGGGGGACCGCAGCACGTACATCCCTGCACCGCCCAGCACCGCATAGTTTCCACTGAACTCGCTCCCTCCCACCCCCCCTGACGCTTGCTCTAGCACAGCCACCCCTCCTCCCGCCACACTCGCGTTGTTCCCCTTAAAAGCACATCCCGATACATTCACCACTGCAGTCCCTACAAACGCCGCTCCTGCTCCCACCTGCGCAGAATTCCCACTGAACACCGAACCTGAGGTTAGGTCCAGCCGAGCCTGCCCGTCCACTGCCAAGCCTCCGCCCAGCTCCGCCACGTTCCACTCGAACCTGCTCCCCTCCACCACCGCAGCCACCCCGTCGGCCAATCGCAGCGCGCCACCTGTCCCTGCTGGGTTCTTATTCCTAGAGAAGGTACACCTGGTGAAGCGTCCATCTGCCAGCCCTTGCAGCAGCACCGCAGACACAGCATTCCCAGAAAACGCCGAATCAGCCGCCGTGACATTCGCCTCGGCTTCGGCCGTGATCGCCCCTCCATGCAACGCGTAATTCCCGGTAAAAGAACTATTCGATACAGTCACATCGGATACATGCGTCGCGTACACCACGCCCCCCATATAGTCCGCGCGGTTACCGGAGAACACTGTGTTGTTTTCCGCTCGGAGCCTTGCTTCCATCTCCACCCACACGGCGCCTCCCCAGGGGGCAGAGTTTTGAGAGACGTTGCAGGCGAGCAGAGAGAGAGTGGCCGCGCCGCTGATCCGGGCAGCTCCTCCTTCGCTGGTGGCCCGGTTGAGGTTGAGGCGGGAGGAGAAGAGGCGGGCTGTGGCGTTGGCTAGGAGGGAGAGGCAACCCCCTCCTGTGGATGCTCTGTGGGGAGGGGAAGAGACGCCATGGGGTGAGGAAACACAGGAGAACTCCTGTACAAGAACGCCCCCACCCGTGCCAGCGCTCTCATTCTCCTCGATTCGACTCCCCTCCATGCGCATTCCCACACTCCTCCCGAGTAGATAGCACCTCCTCCCAACAATAAGAAGACAGTCTTTGACACGTCTCAAAAATCGACTCCCCAACATGCATGCCCACGCTCAGCCCCTTCGTCCCACTCACCTGTTGCTCATGCGGTCACAGTCCGTGACAGTCACTTCGGAAAATTCTTGTACGAGTATCCCCCCTCCCGTGCCAGCACTACCGTTCTCCTCGATTCGACTCCCCTCCATGCGCATTCCCACACTCAGCCCCGAGTAGACAGCACCTCCCCCCACCAGCAAAAAAACATGTTTCTGAAACGTCTTAGAAAGCGTCTCCCCAACACACGCATGCCCACGCTCAGCCCCTCTTGTCCCCCTCACCTTTTGTCCCCCTCCTCACCTGTTGCTCATGCAGTCACAATCCGTCATGGTCACTTTCGAAAACTCCTGCACCAGGACCCCCCCTCCTGTGCCAGCACTCTCATTCTCCTTGATTCGGCTCCCCTCCATGCGCATGCCCACGCTCAGCCCCGAGTAGATAGCACCTCCCCCCAGTGCCGCCCGGTTGCCCTGGAAGGTACACCTGGTGAAGGTCACTGTGGCAGGCTTGCCTTCAGATTCCGCCCCGTAGGCTGTGAGAGGGAAGTGGGTTGATAGAGGGCAGGGGGATGAGGGGGGTGAGTTGAGGCACGTTAACAACCTGTTTCCCTGAAAGGTGCATCTGGTGAAGGTCACTGTGGCAGGCTTGCCTTCAGATTCCGCCCCGTAGGCTGTGAGAGGGAAGTGGGTTGATAGAGGGCAGGGGGGATGAGGCAGGCAGGCTTGCAAGGCGGGCCCGTCACACACAGGTAGGGCACTCCAGTGAATGTGAAACGCATCTCCGTGCTCTCGCTGTACAAGGCATGCGGGCACACAAGCGAGTGATTTTTGAGAATTCTCAAAAATCTCCGTGCTCTCGCTGTACAAGGCATGTGGGCACACAAGCCCCAGGGCCCAGCCCAGCCCGCTCCCTGCTCACCCCACCAACCACCACACCACCCTTGCTTGCTACCACAGCCCCTACCTGTGACGGCCCCGCCCTGCAGGCCAGCTTCATTTCCCTGGAAGAGCACGTCAGTGAAACGCATCTCCGTGCCCTCGCTGCACATGGCACGGGGGGCACATACGCCAAACCCTGTCCATGATCGCGTTACCTACCACAACCCTTCCCTGCCACAGCCCCTACCTGTGACAGCCCCGCCCTGCAGGCCAGCCTCGTTCCCCTGGAAGAGCACGTCAGTGAAACGCATCTCCGTGCCAACATGCGCCATGCGAGGAAATATACCAACCCTGCCCTACTCGCCTCACCCACCGCCACTCTGCCTGTCATGCCCCTACCGGTGATGGCTCCGCCCTGCAGGCCAGCCTCGTTCCCCTGGAAGACCACGTCAGTGAAACGCATCTCTGTGCTCTCACTGTAGACAGCACCTCCCCGGGATAGCCCCGCCATGTTGCCCTCAAACCGGCTGCCGGTTATGTCCACTGGTGACATGCCCTGAAGAGGAGAGGGAGGAGATGAGAAAAGAGACGGGAGAGGAGAGGTGAAGGGTATGGGAGGTTTTCTAACGAGACTGGTTCGTTTTATGCCCCCGGTTTCTCTATTCAAGCAAGCGAGGAGGTCGAGCTTTGTGCAGCAGCAGTGGTGCGCCCCCAGACCAGTGGCATGGCGTATTGGAGTGGTACTGGGTAGATGTTGATTGCACCGCCTTGAGCCAGCTGGTGGTGTTGTTGTGGAAGGAGCAGGTGGTGATGGTGAGCGGGTCGTAAGGCATGAAGAGCGGAGATGGAAAGAGTGGAGTGGAGAGGAGTGGAGAGGAGTGGAGACGGAAGGAGGGGAATAGACTCATACCGGGTAGACGTTGATTGCGCCGCCTTGGGCGAGCAGCACGGAGTTGTTGGAGAAGGAGCAGTTGGTGACGGAGAGCGGGCCGTACGGCATGAAGTGCAGCGCCCCCGCCTGGCTGGCCGCCCTGTTGCCGTGGAACGTGCAGTTGGTGAGCGCGGTGGTGGCTCGGGAAACCACTGGGAGGGAGATGGGGGGGAGAGAAGAGGGGGATTTGTGAGGGGATTCAAAGGCAGCGCCAAGCTCCTGCCTGACTGGCCGCCCTGTTGCCGTGGAAGGTGCAGTTGGTGAGGGCGGTGGTGGCTCGGGAAACCACTGGGAGGGAGGGGGAAAACGATAGGGGTGGGGGAGTAAGGTGGGGTGGGGTGTGAAGGAGAGAGATTGCGCTGTCCTGATTGTGTGTGCACTCTGTGTGTGAAGAAGAGAGATTGCGCTGTCCTGATTGTGTGTGCACTCTGTGTGTGAAGAAGGTGAAGGGATTGTGAGTGTGTGTGCATGCGCGACAAAGAGGGAGGCACAGTGTGTGTGCAGAGCAGTGCAGTGCAGTGCAGTGCGGTGTGGTGCAGTGCAGTGCAGTGCGGTGCGACTGACTCACTGGCTCCACCAATCTTGGAATTCCCGTGGTCGCCGTTCTCTATAAAGGAGCAATTCGTTACAGTCACGTTGCCCGCATCCAGATACACTGCTGCCCCCTGCCCCGCCTGTTGGGGTGAGGGGAGGGGAAGGCAGGGGTGATGGGGCGATGGGGAAAGGAACACAGGGTGCACAGAGCAAGGCAGGGGTTAGGAAGAAACACCATGCGGGCAGGCAGGGGTTCGGAAGAAACACCGTGCGGGCCGGCAGGGGTAGGAAGAAACACAGTGCGGGCCGGCAGGGGTAGGAAGAAACACAGTGCGGGCCGGCAGGGGTAGGAAGAAACACAGTGCGGGCCGGCAGGGGTAGGAAGAAACACAGTGCGGGCCGGCAGGGGTTCGGCATCCACACGTGGGGACCCGTGGGACCTCACATTCGTGTATCGTTACGTTACCACACGCCTGGCGTGGCGTGGGGGTTCGGCATCCACACGCCTGGCGTGGGGAGCAGGCTGGGCAGAGGCCTGCTCAGGTGAGGATGGGCCGAAGGGGGAAGAAGATGCTCATAAATACCTTCTAGGTTCCTCAAATATTGTTTTGAGACGTCTCAAAACAACACTTTTATCACGTGGCCGAAGGGGGAAGAAGATGCTCATAAATACCTTTTAGGCGCCTCAAAAATCCACCCACTTACTGCATTGCTTTTGAAGATTGAGTTGGGGATGGTGATGGGGAAGAGGGGGTGTAAATGAACGCGAACACCTTCAGCGCACCCACCTACCCACCCCCCCACACACACATGTGCACCTACCGTGTTGTTCTTGAACATGGAATCAGCGATGGTAATCGGGAACAGGGGGTCCATGAAGGCAAACACCATCAGCGCCGCTCCCTGCGACAGGTACGTGGCGGATGCGCTGCCACCATGGAGCACTGACGGATGGAGCACTGCCACCATGGAGCACTGCCACCATGGTGCACTGCCACCATGGAGCACTGCCACCATGGAGCACTGCCACCACGGAGCACTGCCACCACGGAGCACTGCCACCACGGAGCACTGCCACCACGGAGCACTGCCACCATGGTGCACTGCCACCATGGTGCACTGCCACCATGGAGCACTGCCACCACGGAGCACTGCCACCACGGAGCACTGCCACCATGGAGCACTGCCACCATGGTGCACTGCCACCATGGAGCACTGCCACCATGGTGCACTGCCACCACGGAGCACTGCCACCACGGAGCACTGCCACCATGGTGCACTGCCACCATGGAGCACTGCCACCACGGAGCACTGCCACCATGGTGCACTGCCACCATGGTGCACTGACGGATGGTGCTGCAGCCAAGTATGGGGTACGGTACGTACATGGCTGGCTGTGACACTTACCCGTGTTGTTCTTGAACGTGGAATCAGCGATGGTGATGGGGAACAAGGGGTCCATGAAGGCAAACACCATCAGCGCCGCTCCCTGCGACAGGTACGTGGCGGAGGCGCTGCCAACAACCCCTCTCACCAGCAAGAAACCCCACCCACCACACACGCACCCGCCCACCCACCCTCCCTCCCATCCTCCCACCTACCGTGTTGTTTTTGCAGGTGGAATCAGCGATGGTGATGGGGAACAAGGGGGCCATGAAGGCAAACACCATCAGCACTGCGCCCTGCGACAGGTACGTGGCGGAGGCGCTGCCGTCGCCAGCAGGGGTGGGCAGAAGCACTGCCATCTCCTCTCAACACAACTCACTCACCGCAGACGGGACGAAGGAGTTGTGTTGAGGACCCATCCAGCAGCCCACGCACCCACCCCAACCACTTACCGAGTTGTTCTTGAAGGTCGAGTCAGAAATGGTGATGGGGAACAAGGGGTCCATGAAGGCAAACACCATCAGCGCCGCTCCCTGCGACAGGTACGTGGCGGAGGCGCTGCCGTCGCCAGCAGGGGTGGGCGAGGCGGCGTTGCTTTGGAAGAGGCAGGCGCGCACTGTGAGGGCCGCACCGTACGACACCACTGCTGCTGCGAAGGATGGCACGTTTGTGACGACGTTGTTAATAAACTGGCAATCCAGGATCTGGAAGGATAGAGGGCAGGGAAGGTTTGGGAGAAAGGCAGTGGGAGCCCATGAGGAAAACGGGGTATAACGCAGTGCCTTCCCCAGCAGGGGTGGGCGAGGCGGCGTTGGAGTGGAAGAGGCAGGCGCACACTGTGAGGGCCGCACCGTACGACACGACTGCTGCTGCGAAGGATGGCACGTTTGTGACCACGTTGTTGATAAATCGGCAGTCCAGAATCTGGTTTTGAAAAGGCGGGAAGTGGGGGAAGTGGGGGGAGAAAGGGGGCAGGTGGGACAGGGAGAGGGGGGAAGGGGAATGGGAGAATGTAAATAAAGTGGCTTGTAAGGCAGTGCAGCAGGGGTGGGCGAGGCGGCGTTGGAGTGGAAGAGGCAGGCGCGCACTGTGAGGGCCGCACCGTACGACACGACTGCTGCTGCGAAGGATGGCACGTTTGTGACCACGTTGTTAGGGAAATTTGCAGTCCAGGATATGGATGGATGGAGGGACAGAGGGATGGAGGTGGAGGGGAGGTTGCGGGAGAGGGGAATAGGGGGAGTGAGGGGTGAAGGGTAGTTGAGAGAAGGGGAGTGGACGCATGTGAACACCCATACCCACACACCCCCACCGATACACCCATACCCACACACCCCCACCGATACACCCATACCCACACACCCCCACCGATACACCCATACCCATACACCCCCACCGATACACCCATACCCATACACCCCCACCGATACACCCATACCCATACACCCCCACCGATACACCCATACCCATACACCCCCACCGATACACCCATACCCATTCATCCACATCAAACCCCCCTTCAACAAGATCCACCTGCGAGACCCAGGCAGCATGCAGCAGCATGGTGAGCTCGACTCTCGAGGTGCCCCTCCTGCACGGGGAGGACGAGGGCACTGGAGACGACTTTTGAGACGTCTCAAAAATGTTTTTTGAGGCGCCTCAAAAATGCGGCAGCATGATGAGCTCGAGGCGCCCCCCCTGCACGAGGAGGAAGAGCGAATTGGAGACGACCATGCTCACATACACCCACACTCCGACACCCACACCCACACCCACACCCACACCCACACACCCACACCCACACCCACACCCACACACCCACACCCACACCCACACCCACACCCACACTCCGACACCCACACACCCGCACCCACACACCCACACCCACACCCACACACCCACACACCAACACACACACCCACACCCACACACACACCCACACCCACAACCACACCCACACCCACACCCACACCCACACTCCGACACCCACACCCACACCCACACCCACACCCACACCCACACCCACACCCACACCCACACCCACACCCACACCCACACTCCGACACCCACACCCACACCCACACCCCCACACCCACACCCACACCCACACCCACACCCACACACCCACACCCACACACCCAGACCCACACACCCACACCCACACACCCACACCCACACCCACACCCACACCCAAACCCACACCCACACACACACCCACACCCACACACACACACACACACACACACACACACACGCATACACACAAACCCACACACGCATACCACAAACCCACACACCGACACACACCCACTCACCTCCGTGACTCCCGGCAGCATAATAAGCTCGAGGCATCCCCCCTGCATGAACGCCTGGTTCTCCTCAAACACGCTCCCCGTGACTGTCAGCGGCGCCACGGCCGATTGCACACTGATCGCCCCGCCGGTCAAAGTCGAGACGCAGCGGCGGAAGGAGGAGTCCCGGACGTGCATGTGCAGGGAGGTGTTGAAGAGGATTGCGCCTCCCGAGGGAAAGACTGAGAAGTCGGCGCCCTGATCGGCCGTGCAGGCCGTGAAGGTGGTGTTGGCGATGGTGGTTGAGGAGTTGAACTCGTTGATTGCCCCACCTGCCATTGACTGAAGGGAGAGAGGGAGAAGAGGGGTGCAACGGTAAGAATTTGACACAGCAGAAAAGGAGTGAGAAGTCGGCGCTCTGGTCGGCAGTGCAGGCCGTGAAGGTGGTGTTGGCGATGGTGGTGGATGAGTTGAACTCGTTGATTGCCCCGCCTGCCATTGACTGAAGGGAGAGAGGGAGAAGGCGCAAGGGTAAGGATTTGACGCAGCAGAAAAGGAGTGAGAAGTCGGCGCCCTGGTCGGCTGTGCTGCAGGCCGTGAAGGTGGTGTTGGCGATGGTGGTTGAGGAGTTGAACTCGTTGATTACCCCGCCTGCCATGGCCTGTGGTGGCGGAAGGAGAGGGCGGAGAGGGGGGAGAAGGGGGAGAAGGGGGAGAAGGGGGAGAAGGGGGAGAAGGGGGAGAAGGGGGAGAAGGGGGAGAAGGGGGAACAAGGAGTTGAAAGAAGGAGGGGAGGAAGTGGGAGTCCCTTTGAGCATTCTCAAAAGTCACACAGAAGGAGGGGAGGAAGTGGGAGTCCCGGATGTGCATGTGCAGGGAGTGCTGAAGAGGATTGCTCCTCCTGAGGGGAACACTGAGTATTCGTTCCCCCCTCTTCCCCCCTCTTCCCCCCTCTTCCCCCCCTTCACCCGCCCCTCACCTTGCAGCCAGTGAAGCTCGAGTCTTAAATGGTTAGGTTGGCAGCAGAGAAAGGAGCGATGCACCCACCATACCCCCTGCCACGCCTTCCTTCCTCTCCGTGTAACACCCTTCAAAGCTCACAACTCTCACCTTGCAGCCAGTGAAGCTCGAGTCTTCAACCGTCAGATTGGCAGCAGAGAAAGAAGCGATGCACCCGCCGTATCCCCCTGCCACGCCCTCCTCCCTCTCCGTGTAACACCCTTCAAAGCTCACAACTCTCACCTTGCACCCAGTGAAGCTCGAGTCTTCAACCGTCAGATTGGCAGCAGAGAAAGACGCGATGCACCCACCATACCCCCCTGCCACGCCCTCCTCCCTCTCCGTGTAACACCCTTCGAACATCGCCCCTTTTAGAAACACTCTCGCCCCTGCTCCCACGTACAATCCCCCGCCAACGCCCCCACCCCGCACCCTGCTGCTGCTGATGGTCACAGCTGTAGCAACGAGAGTTGTCGCTGCAGCTGTGGCTGCAGCTGTGGCTGTAGCAGCGGCTGTAACGGCTTCTAGAACAGCTATAGCACCACCACTGGGACCTGTTGACGTGCAGTTGGAGAAGGACACGTGGCTGTATGGGATTGGAGGAGAGGGGAGGAGACGAGAGGCGAGGAGAAGGGACGAAGAGGCGAGAGAAGAGGACAGGAGAGGAGAGGAGAGGAAAGGAGAGGACAGGAGAGGAGAGGGCAGGAGAGGAGAGGACAGGAGAGGAGAGGACAGGAGAGGAGAGGAGAGGAGAGGAGAGGAGAGGAGAGGAGAGGAGAGGAGAGGAGAGGAGAGGAGAGGAGAGGAGAGGAGAGGAAGGGAGATGGAAGTGGAGAAAAGAAATTAGGCTGATGGCTCAGACATTGAATCGAAGGAGGTTTGGGACCTTCGCCTTACCTTGCCTTATCTTCCCTTGCAGTACCGCATTACAGACCTTAGCACTGTACGGTACCCATCCAGCAGCAAGCAGCACGCACTCCCCTGAGCGTGGGTACGTGCGTGTGGGTACGTGCGTGTGGGTACGTGCGTGTGGGTACGTGCGTGTGGGTACGTGCGTGTGGGTACGTGCGTGTGGGTACGTGCGTGTGGGTACGTGCGTGTGGGTACGTGCGTGCTGCAGCAGCAAGCAGCACGCACTCCCCGTTGTCACTCCATTAAGCTCACTCAGGTGTTCCACCTTCAACTCTTGCTGCTGTGCTGCTACCCACACCACCTCCCACCACTGCCACTCACCTGAGCAGCACCGCATAGCACCGCACTACGCACCTGAGCACCGCACGGTACCCATCCGGAAGCAGGCGGCCTCCACTCCCCGTTGTCACTCCACTCAGGTGCTCCACCTTCAGCTGCGGCTGCTGTGCTGCTACCCACACCACCTCCCCCTGCTTCCAGCCACTCACCTAAGTAGCACCATACAGCACCACAATACATACCTGAGCACCGCACGGTACCCATCCAGCAGCAGGCAACCCCCACTCCCAGTGGTCACGCCATTAACCACGCTCAGATGCTTCACCACCAGCACCGGCTGCTGCTCCCCACACCAGGTTTTAGGAGCAGCAGCAGCAGCACCAGCAGCAGTAGGGGTGCTTTGGCATGAGGCAACAAGGCAAGGGCCACCGTTACAGTCAAGCACGGCAGGAGGGGAGGGGAGGGCAGGGCCGAGGATGGTGAGGGCGAGGAGAGGAGGGAGGAGGATGGGGGCGGATGGAGGGGTAGCGGTGCGGGTATATGTTCCTGAAGCGAGAGTGACTGTAGCGTTGTCAGATGCTCTGAAAAAGGTCGGAGTTCAGCGGGAGAAAGGGAGGGAGGAAGGAAGGGGTGGGGAAGGGGGGGGTGTGGGAAAGGTGGGAGAGAGTGGCAAAAGTAGGAAGGACATAAAAATCTCCGTTGCTAACAGCAAACAGAGGGGCGCAAGCATGAGGAGCGGGGTGTTGGGAAGGGCAAATGGAGTGGGAGTGAAAGGGCTCTTAAGCCAATGAGAAATTTTCATTGGCTTTTTAGCCCTTTCATTGGCTTTTGGCAGAAATTTTCATGAGGAGCGGGGTGTTGGGAAGGGCAAATGGAGTGGCAGTGAAAGGGCTCTTAACCCTTCCCTTCTGTATGGCTTTTGGCAGAAATTTTCATCTGCTCGCTATCGAGGAGAAGTATGAGAATCCAAAGATCACGGATGTCAACCTTTGAACGCGCCACTGAAGTGCCTTTAGAATCGACACAACGAACAAGGGAGGGAATTACCTCTGAACACCGCATTGAAGTGACCGAAAGCCACGTGTAGAAATTGTAGTTTTGAGACGTCTCAAACCTACACTTTCGACACGTGAATTACCTCTGAACACCCCATGGTAGTGACCGACAGGGAAACGGAACAAATGTGCTAAAAGTGCTGTGATTGTTTCGACGAGGTAGCTGGAAATGCAATGGGCCTGAAAACCCCACTGCAAAGCTACAAAACGCAAGGAGGCACCAATACATGTGTGCATCAGGACAGGACAGTGGATGATGGGTGGGTGGGGTGCGGTGCGGTGGTGAGCGGTGAAGGCTGTCGGGACAAACATTGCTGTAGCTGATTCCAGTGAAACTGCGAAGAGCTTTTTACAAAAACACCCTGCAAAGATTTTTTTTTTTTTTTTTTTTTTGAAGGGGGACTTCTGAAAAACACTTGGGAGGGTGGAACGATAAAGGTTAACGGGACAAACCTTGCTAGAGCTGCTTCCAGTGAGGCTGCAGAAGGTTGAAACGGGAGATGAAGTGTGGGGAAGACAAGAACAGGGAGAGGGAATGGAGAAATGTGGTGGTCAGAAGGAAACAACGAGGAGGGGAGATGGAGATGGAAGGCAAAAGAGATGCAACCACGGGAATATCTTCAAAACGAGCATACCACAGCAAGAGGGCATATCACAGGGATTGGATTTGGTTCGGAGGCAGAGCATAGGGAGAGGTGAGGGCATGCAGGGATGACTGAAAGGCACTGCCCTGCACACATGCATACACACCCACACGTGTTTAACGGACTTGCCACGTGTTTGACTGACTTGCCACGTGTCACATACCACAGGGATTGTCCTGGGAGCCACAGCAAGCGGAGAGGGTAGCCTTGGGATCCACGAAGAGGGCGGACGTGCTTAGGGAACAGTCTGGTGCTGTGCGGTGCAGATGGGTGGGAGGGGGGGGGTGGGGTACGGGAGGGAGGGGGAGGTAGGAGTAAAGTGGAGGTGATTTAAGGGTCGACTCAGAAAACAAGCAGACACCCTTGGAATGCACGAAGGGGGCAGAGGTGCTTAGGGGACAACCCGCTGCTGTGTGGTCGGGCAAGGGGCGGAGTGAAGAGATATCGAAATGAAACCCACAGCACGTGAGCGTGTGTGTGTGTGTGTGCAAACACACACACGCGTGCGCACACACACACACACTCACACACCTCCCCCACACACAAATCTCCCACAAAAACCTCCATCACACACCCCCCTCTCCCACAAACACCTCCCCACACACGCACACACACCAACCCCCCCCCACACACACACACAACTCTCCCACCCTCACACGTACCCGCCGCTGGCGCTGCTGCTGCAGGGTTGATGAGCGACGACGGCGGGAGGAGGGAGAGGAGGAGGAGGAGTGGAAGGAAGGGGATGTGGGAGGGAATCAGGGAGGCTGGTGACACATGGCGGTGTGAAAGGAGAGATGCGCGCCGAGCACATCGGCGGAAAGTTGTTGTTTCCCCGTTCCCCATGACCGCCGCGTGGCTATCTGTTGCTTAAATTTCTGCGGGTTCCTGATTTAAAATACAAACAGAAACTAATGCGAACGCAAGAGCGGAATTGTACAGATACTGTTTCCGGCTTTGTATGTACTCTGTCGTCCTCCCGCCGCCTAATATCGCCGAAATGAGGAAATTCGCGACGCCGAAGCGTGGAATGTTTACGACGGCCGACGACTGCTACGACGACGGCTGCGACGACGACTACGACGACGGCAATGAGGGCGACAACGGCGGTGGCTACGTACTCGCTACTTGTTCGGAACTGGTTTACCACGAACGCGACAGCGGCAACGACGCTGGCGAAAACATCATGCAAGTTTGTTGGAAGCGAGCTTCGTAAGAAATTTGTAGTTTGAATCGTCCCCTTCTGTCCCGACCAAGCTGACCGAGCCCGGGTGGTAATCAATAGGTCGACTTAGTGGGGGTGGTTGGTGAGTCTGTCGGAGAATCGGTTGAATTCGTTCCGCGAAGCATATAAATAATGCACTCTCGGGAATTCGAGCTAATATGTCTGGGGATGTCGTGTTTGTGAGCGGTACGAGAATGCGTCACGTACGAACGCCCGTTAGTACATACGTCATTGGCAAATGCGCGTTAGCGAATGTGTGCTAGCTGCAAAATCATTCCCACCGAGTGGAGAGGGGACGCGCGCATTGGAGCTACGGGGAAAGCTGCGTTTGCGTACTGCGTGAGCGCACCGCGTGGGAACGCTACGGAATGAAGTAATCTGAACTGCTCTAAACAAACGAAACGTCACGTGAGAGTAATTAGCTATTAGTTCTGCGTGAGCGACATAATTACGCGATGTACCGTGCAGTCCGCTACTGACAGCTCCAGACCACAGGGGGGAACGCGACGCGATGCAGTTCCTTGAAGGCGACACAAAAGCGCTTCGACGTTTCTATCAAATTCGTCAGATTGAGTGGCCTGGCGTTACTTTCCTATCTCTGCGAGAGCGGACAAGCGGAGCAAACTGAATGAGAGACGCGAGTGCAGTGTGAGTGATTTGGTTGATGTTCTTGCCAGTCTAACTACACGCCACTCCCATATGCTGGTGGTTGAAGTGAATGTGATGGGAAGGGAAGGGAAGGGAGGATGGGTTGATGTTCGGTTTGCTCGTTCACTCCCTCCCATGGCTGCCGCCGTTACTCGTTTCTTCCAAACCAATTTACCAAACCATGGCTGTCGTTTCCGTAGTGGCCGCTCAGCGTGTAACAAGCCTCTCACGCCAACAAACTCGGTTTTAGCGCAAGGGCCCTCCCTAACTAGGGCGTGTTTCAGCGGTCGGGAGGATCCCACATTTCTTGTTGGACCCGTATGATGCAGCATGGTAAGTGCGGGTCCGTTCTCTTACTTTACAGTTTTGAAACCTCTAGCTTGGAAGAGACTTCTCTCAGCCAGTTTTAGAGTCGCTATTCTCTCAGCCAGTTTTGACGTGAATGTAAACGGAAGCGCCTTCAACCCCACCAGCTTCCAGACCAGAATGGAAAACGGCAACCACACCAAAAGCCAACGAAAACGGCTGAATGGCAGAAACCGTTCGCGGTATACTTCCCAACAAAGGTTCAGACTGAAAAATACGTGGGGGTGTAGTCGTACAGTCAGCCTTCCCGCTCGTTTCAAGCAGAGCAACTACACACATAATTTCATTATGTTATACAAGGATTTTCCTCTATAGTGTGAACTAATGAACATGATTGGCTAGCTTGATGACTTCCTGCTAATTGTTGTTATGTGTGCATGTGCGTGTGCGTGCGTGCGTGCGTGTGTGCGTGCGTGCGTGCGTGCGTGCGTGCGTGTGGGGGGCGAGGGGGGGGGTTGGGGGAGGGGGGGAGGGGGGGGGGGGGAGGGAAGGGGGGGGGAAGGGGGGGGGGGGGGAGGGGGGGATGTCCGGGCTATACCACGGGGATTTCAAACCAATAGTTTTTCTTTTGAATAACATGCAGCATCATTACAAATGAGGCACAGCACATTCATATATAATGAGTTGAACTGCAGTCACCCATATGAGCATCATATGCATTGACTGTAGATGGAACATTCTTCACAACCGTTAACGAGGATGTTTGTCACAGAGGGTAGTACGTTTCAAAGTTGACAATACAAGTGAGTCTAGATTTCATCTGCAGCCTCGATGCACCGCTTTTTCAGCTACATATCCGGAAGATTGCTTCCTCTTGTCAGAAGTTTGACCCGTCGATTGGTGTAACCTCCATGCATCCAAGGAGGCCCACGTGATGCACATGATGAAGTTCAGTGGAATGAACGAATAATCGCGGAGATTACTTTTCCAGAATCCCCGTGATTCTTCTTTGGTTGTCAGGTTTCTGATTCTCTGAGGAATATCTTCCGAATTATCTCCTGAAAGGTTGGATGGGTGCATATTTCCTTTCGGTGGTAGGCGGCGCCGGTGGATGCGTAGCGAGCGGTTCTCAATTCGTTTCAGGTAATCCTTTCAAATTCGAGTTTTGAACAAAGTTCACCCTGCCCCTAGTGTCTGCCAGTTACCGTAGCCAAAATATTACACTGTATTATTCTCCCCAGTCGGATATGGCAGTGTCAAATCGAACACTGCGTGAACTACCAGCAGGGTCAGTCGGTGTCGAGAGGGCCTCCACAAAACAAGGCGGGCAGCGGCTTGCACGACATAACAACACCAGAGGAGCGTACTCTGCTGCCGCATGTGAGTGTCCAATAAAGGAAAACAAAGGGCTATTGCCTACCTATCAAATTGTGGGTGCTGTACTGCATCCACAACATCACCGGCTTTGGGGGTTATGCTCAGAATTGAGACAAACTGATACTTAGCCGGTCTCGAGTTGGTGCCTATAGTACTTACTTTGAAGTAGCTTCAACGTTTTAAGCAGGGTTCTTGTGGAATTCTGCTCGGCCACGGCAGTGTGAATGGTGTTTTCCAACGACGTCAAGGATAGTGCACGGTGGTGGAAAAAAAAAACCACTTTGTAAAGGAGACAACGGGGTAACCTCCGTAGCATTCTGAACCCTGGTGGTACTGGAAGCGACTGAAAATTCAGGGTAGCGTTCTGGATGCTCGTAGGAGCATAAAATGTAACGCACTCTTCTTTCCTCAATTGTCTACGGCTGTATTCGTAAATCTTGGATTTCCAGCCATATGTTCTAGACCCGCTTCCACCACCCAGTTCCTAGATGGCCGTGTATGGGATAGTCAAAGATATTTCCGAAATGTCCTAGACCAGTGTGCTTTTGATTATCCAAACTCCCATATTCCAAGGTGACTGGATGAGGAAAAGCCCTGACGCTGGGAGGAAACCTGGAGCCCCTCAACACCTACTGCAAGATAGTTGGAGGTCTTCCCATTGGGTAAGACTTGTCGCGTCAGATCCAGTTTCTCCTCCCCCATAACATCCCCCCAACCTCCCCTTTCCGCTGGCTCTCCCGCGGAGGATCCCGAAAACGAATGACCTGTCGCTGGACTGCCGCAACCATTGGTTATCGGCCGACACATCGCGATTCGCTCGGTCGTGCCTTTCTGAATCAGACGTGCCATTTGAATCCATAAGAAGCCCCTTCTGACTCAGGTTTGGCGGGAACATTTTCGTGTTAAATTGCAACGCGCCAAGACGTGGATCCTCTGCCATTTGAACTTATTGCCTGCCCCCCGAACCAACACCTCTTCAGCCCCACTGACCACTCAACCAATCCAGTCGCGCCCTTTCAGCAGAGCGCAGCTAGAATACAGCGACTCCAGCCGGGGTCTAACAACCATGGTCAGCTAGACCAGTAAGGAGGTCCCCCGCATGCGCACCACAGGGCCAAGGGGGGTTCCCCAACAGCCCTCCCCGCGGCTTCCCCCGCAATTCGCACATCCCAACGAGCCGTCGCTTCAGGAGACGGGTCAGTGGCATGTGTGCGGACGAGCCAGATGGGCTCTGTATCATCCCGATGTGCGGATTGGTTCGCAACCCCGGAATGCCAAAACCCGCGCACCGGGCAACACTAGCACTGTTCCGCCTGCGCATTCCACGTACAATCTCGTTCCCGCCCGCAGCACCTCTGCGGAAGTCTCTGAGCCCAGGCGCACTGTTTCTGAAGGTTTCCTGAGGAATCTGATTGGAGCCCGGTGAAACCGAAGCGAAACCGCAGGTCACGCGAACTGTACTGCAGCCACTACATGAAACCTCGATGCGCCAATATTCTCCCTCCCCCTCCAAACCCCCCCTCCCCTCGCCCCGTCCTCTCTCCCCGGAGCTCGGACAATCCCCACAACACAGGAATTCCCAATGCGGTCACCGCCTCTTCGGAAGGATGCTTTCAGAGGAGAGCGGTGTTCTCCCCCCAACCTAGAAATAATTTCCCCCATTCCCCCTCATCCCCGCAACCTTTCTCCCTCCTTCCCCCAGCCTCCCCCCCTACCTGTTCGGCAGACAAACCCAAGAAGGCCATGCCATGGCATGCCATGGCCCATGAGGTGACCGTGGTCCGTGAGTCAGTGAAGGGGAGTGAGCGAGCAGTTATCGAGGTTCAGCTGAATCCAGCATAGCAAGTGAGAAATGGATATCTGACCAGCCGAGCTTCAGGAAAAGTGACATTTGTACAACCGAGCTTTAGAAAGTCAGACTCCTGCCGAGCTGGAACGAGCTTCTTCCTGATTCGATCGTTCAGTTTCCAGTAGTTCACGCGAGTGTGATTTGCAGTTCAAATTCCTGCGTTCGTAGTGTGCTGACCAGTTTTCAACCTTCGCGTTGTTGTTCACCTTTTCCAGCTTACTTCAGCTAACACATTAGTACGTTCTGAAAGCACGTCTTTACGTCGCCGTGAATTAGCCTTCTATATCCTCAAGGACTTTTTTTCGTTAGAGTTGCTAGGAAACCGCACGATGACAGCCAGAATCGGCTGCGAGCAAGCTGAGCGCGACGTACTGTCAGTAACTCGCGAATGCTTCCAGCCAAGGGGATTTCAATCGCCTCAGTTTCCAGCCGCGATGGCTCGCGATGATATCTCGGACTTCGTCACCTTCGCTCCCTCCCCGTACTCCACCAACCGACACAAACGAAACGTCTCGGTCCCGGAATTTCCGGAGCTCCGTCTGATGTCCTCCCCGCCTAAACCCGCTTCTTCTCCATTCCTCGCACCAGCAGCACCGGCAGGTTGCGGAGCAGCAGCGTCACCCCCACCGCCAGCGCCAGCTGCACCAGCAGCAGCGGATTCGTCGCTGACGTCAGCCGCGCCGCTTCACGAGCGTTACTCCAAGACTCGAATGATTGGTCAAGGCCATTTTGGACAGGTTTGGGCTGTGGAGGATCGGATAACCCGCAGGACGTTCGCCTGCAAGAGCATCCCCAAGAACAGCGTCAAGTTCGGCGAGGCGGAGATGAAACGCGAGATCGCCGCGATGAAACGCGTGTCGGGCCACGAGAGCATCGTACAGTTACAATCCGTGCGCGAGGATTCGGAGTCCATGCATCTGGTCATGGATTACTGCGACGGAGGGGAACTATACGAGGCGGTAGAGCGGCAGGGAAGGTTCCCGGAAAAAGAGGCCGCGAGGGTGTTCAAGCAGCTCGTGTCGGCCGTCGCGTATTGCCACTCGCAGGGCGTCATGCATCGCGATGTCAAGCCTGAGAATATCCTCCTCTCCGCGTCGGCATCGTCGTCCGCGTCGTCGTCGTCTTCCGGCGCTCGTTCCGGCAGGAATTCCGGCGCGATTTCCGGTGCGGATTCCATCCCTGCGGCTCCCAAAGGCGTTGCGGCGCCGCGAGAAGCAGTCAGCGTGAAACTCGCGGATTTCGGGCTCGCGGTTCTCCTTGCAAAGGGCGAAAAGGCCTCGGGAATCGCGGGTTCGCCGCTATACATGGCTCCCGAGGTTGTTTCTAGCGAGTACGACTTCGCGGCGGACGTCTGGTCTCTCGGCGTGGTGCTTTACATTCTTCTCTGCGGCGCGCCGCCTTTTGGCGGGAAGGACGACGCGCAGATCATGCGGTCGATCTGCCACGACGAGCCGGATTTCTCGTCGCCCGCGTGGCAGAGCGTGTCGGCGGAGGCTAAGCTGTTCGTCCGGTGCCTGCTAGTTAAAGACCCCGCGCGCCGCCCTCCAGCGTACAAGCTCCTGGCGCACCCATGGATCCTCGTGCACACGCGCGGCGGGCGGATCGTACGGCGGAAGGTGTTCGCGCCGAACGGACGGCAGGCAAGGGCCGGCGGCATGAGCGCCGCGATGAGCGGCGGGTTCGCGTCGCCCCTGCGGCCGCGAACTGGGCCTCTCGCGGGGTTCGCGGTGGGAACGCCGGTGCGGTCGTGCGGGTCGACGAGCGTTGCCGCTGCGCTTCTGTCTCCCCTGCCGACTGCTGCTGTGGCGCCAGCGATGACGCCAGCAATGACGCCGCTCCTGTCCCCGCAGATCGGGGTAACACCGATTCTTGGAAGAATCGCGGCGATGCGAGTGGCCGGGTCGCCGTCGCCGCTCTCTGCGCCATCAGTTCCGCCGTCTCCTGCGGGGCACGCGCAGTGGGTTGCGCCATCGCCCGTGTTCGGATCGCCGCTGGGAGGAGGGGGCAATGCGGTGGTGGTGGGTTCTCCGTGGTCGGCTGTGGTTGACTCGTCGCCGTTCGTCTGCCGTACTGCGCCGCTACGGTGCCAGCAGCCGTTCCCGCCACAACTGCCACAGCAGCCGCTGCAACCTCAGCAACTGTTCCAGACGCAGCAGCAGCAGCAGCCTATGCAGAGTCAGGCAGGTCCGGCGCTCTTCCAACCTTACGCGTTAACGCAACAGCAGCAGCAGCACCAGCAACCGCAGCAGCACCAGGAACTGCAGCAGCACCAGCCACGCGCAACACAGCGGTTTCAGACGTTCCAGCTCCGCCCGATGGAGCAGGACGAGGCGAGCCAACAGCAGGAACAGATTCATCACCATCACCAGCATCAGCATCAACATCATCCTCATCAGCACCAGCACCAGCAGCAGCAGCAGCAGCAGCAGCAGCAGAAGAGGTTGGCTCCAAAGCGCCTGCTCTGGCTTCCCAATCTCTCCACTCCCTCTCGGAACGCCTCCACTCCCTCCCCCGCCCGCTCAGAAGTCGCTCCCATATCCCCCTGCCTGGCTCTCGCTCGAAAGCCCCTCGCTCTCTCAGCAGCTCGAAAGCTCCTCACACCATCCAGCACCCTCGCCCCGCCCACTCTCACGCACCCCTCTCCACCGCTTCCCACTCCACGAGCCTCGATCCCTACCCCTCCCACTTCCGGAGAATTTCAGCTTCCGCCGGCTGCATTTCCCGCTGCCGTTGGTACCTCCGCTCTTCCTGTTGCTTCTCTCTCTGCTCTTCCAGCTGCTGCTTGCTTGGAACCTCAGCGTAACTGCAACACTTCCGCTTCCTCCTGTGCATCTGCGTCCTCCTCATCCTCTACAGTCCCCTTTGCAGCTGCGCAGCTCCCCAAGGCAACTTTGCCTCCCGCAGTCCCTGCTCTGACGCCGATTACACCCGATGCAACCCCCGTGCTCGGCCCGTCTCATCCCAGCACAGAGCCCAGCCCGCTGACTGCCCCGCTACCACTCGTAGCACCAACGGCGGCGAAAACACAACTGCAGAACAGCAACCTGAAGGGGTGTGGTAACTTTGTTACAGCAGCGTATACCAGCACGACAATGACGCTCGGAAATGGACAAGCCGATGATAGCTGGGGGTCGGTTGGGTCTGCTGCTGGGATGGCTCCGGCTCCTGCTGCCCCGGTATCCATGGCGTCTGGTTCAGTCTCGTCCGCCGACTTGGTTTTGAACGGTGGTGGTATTTCAGGCGGGCCAGCAGGATTGGCGGATATGCCTGGAATGTCGTCACTCAGGCGGTGTCTTTTTGCGTGATTTAGTTGCTGTAGAGCTATTAACATGTATTTTCAAGTAGATAGCACAATTTTGTGAGTTGCGGATTGAAATGATTTTGCTATTATACTTGTTACCATTTGACCCAATGCAACCACCACCAGGAGATGACTTCTGCTTGGTTTTTTAGTTCCCTGTTCTTTGTACTCGCACCTACCGAGGTGGCGCTCTTGTGGTGTGTGTACTTCGAAGGTGTAAGTTTCTAGGAACCACATGTGTTGTCGGTGCTCTCGCTATTGTCTGGAGCTTCAGTAAAAAATAGTTCAGCAGCACTGTAGCATGAAAGAATTGGATTTGTAAAAGCAAGGAACGCACTCATGAGCACACAAGTGATATTGCCAAAATGAGACGGCGGGCACAGGACAAAACTGGGGCAAAATATTCATCCAGAAACCGAAACAGAAGTGCACAAAAAACCTAATGGACGCGACTGAGCCATTATACCAAATACGCATATTGGCTAGGGTGTGGGTGTACCAAACATTCACTCTTGCAGTTCTCGCCCATGGTACTGCTGCGACACGAGGCTAGAGTTGAAAGAGTTTAACCGCCAGTGTAGGGATCCAAGCTCCCTGTGCTAACAGCAGCACATGGAGCTTAGAGATAGGGGTAACGGGAGAGCTCAGAGGCTCACTCAGGCAGGAGCTGTAGCCTTGGCAACAGGTAACGACCATCATCGGTAGAAGCAGAGAAGCAGGGAGGAGGTGGTGGGAAGGGAGGAGGAGGGAGTGGCAACGGTGGAAGGAAGCATCAGAAAGAGGTGTAGAGGCGCAAGGAGACGCATCTTGATGCTGCTACAACCGCAGCTTGAGGTTCGGCGGGCGGGAGAGCTTGGCAGCTACCTCGGGGCTGTAGGCCTGGCGGCAGCCCGGGCAGCGTCCGTCGTCTGATGCGATGCGGTGGTGGCAGAAGAGACAAAGGCGGAACCCACACGAGCAGGGGAGGAAGGAAGAGTCGGTGTTATCGAGCTCCTCTGCACAGATCGGACACAGCTGCGTTGCTGCCGCTGCCGCTGCCGCTGCTGCTGGGTCTGATGAGTGTGATGCTCCTGGTGGTGGTGATGATGGGTTGTTGTGGGATGGTAGGTAGGACGAGGAGGAGGAGAAAGTGCTATGGGGGGACCGGATGAAACTGGCCAAGGTCCAGACTGACGGAGGGGAGGACGAGGAGAAGGAGGAAGAGGAGCGGTGGTGTGGGTTCCACATGCTGTTGCTGCTGCTGCTGTTACTGTTGCTGCCCATATGAGCAAAACTGGGCGCACGTGCAAACTCCTGCTGCTGCTGCTGGTAATGATTTTGATAGTTGAGGGACGAGAAAGAGAAGGAGGAAGAGGAGGGAGACGAGGAGGACGGGGAGGATGAAGAGGAGGAGGAAGAGGAGGAGAGTAGAGCAACCGGGGGAGGCAGGGAAGGCGGCCGAGAGGAATCGTCTGGTCGCCACGCTCGCTCACTAGCAGCAGCACCGGCAGCACCACCACTACCAGCAGCAGCAGCAGCAGCAGACGCTGAAGAAGCAGATGACACAGCAGCAGCAGCGGCAGTGGTGGTACCGGCGGCGGTGGTAGATACAGAGGAGCTTTTGAGGCGCCTCAGGTCAGCAAAACCACACTCGTCCGTGCGCCAGCCACGATCGCCACTAGTGGCAGCAGCAGCGGCGGCAGAGGCAGCAGCAGGGCAGCGCAACTGCCCCCTTCCCCCCATGCCTGCCGCATTGTATGTATACTCTGGTCTCAACCCCCCACCGGTGATTTTTGTCCCGTTGCAGAAGTCTATGCTCTGAGTGCCACCCATTGAGAGTGAGGGTTTAGGGTTTAGGGTTGAGGAGGGAGAGGAGGAGGTGTTGGAGGAGGTGAGAGTGTGGTTTGGTCTGAGAGTGGCAGAGGAGAAGGATGGGAAGGAGGAGGATGGGACAGAGGAGGAAGGAAAGGAGGAGGAGGAGAGGCGAGCAGCTTGAGAATCAGACACACGGGAAGAGGAGGAGGAGGAGGAGGAGGAGGAGGAGGAGGAGGAGGAGGATGCAGAGGAGAGCGAGGAGTAGGACGGGGAGGAAGAGGAGGTGAAGGAGGAGGAGAAGGAGCAGAACTGGGGGGAGGTGTTGTGGGGATGGAAGAGCGATGCCGACGCCGGGGAGCTGTATCGTTCAGAATAGGAAGGTGCTGATGAGTCCGTATGGGCGCCCCACCCACCCTGAGACACATGAGACACATGCCCTACATGGCCTATGTAACTCACATGCCCCACATGATTTATGTGACTCATATGTGCCCCATGGCTCACATGTCTCACATGTCCGTTCATCCTCACCCCTGGCCGCAACCCACCCTCCCAATGCACCCCGCCTTGACCCCCGGAACTCCCCCACCCCTTCCCCCTGCTGTAGCTGCCGCTTCCGCTCCCACTCCCACTGTTCCCGCTGCTTCCACTGCCGCCACTGAAACTACTGCTGCTTAGGCTGCCTGTGCTGGTGGCTGTGCTGTCAGCACTGCTGGTATTGACACCCCGAGCATAACCCCCAGCGCCCTGCACACTCAACCCAGTTTCAGAAGCTTCACTCTCTTCAAGGATTTCTTGTACCTCTGAGCAGATAGCATCTGCTGCTGCTTCCCAGTCATCCTCCTCATCACCACTCCCCTCCTCCTCACCGGCCTCCCCCTCCCCCTCCCCCGCCCGCTCCCCCTCGCCCTCGCCCTGGCCCATTCCCTTCCCCTGCCCTTGCCCCTGCCCCTGCTGCCCCTGCTTCTGATCATTCTCATCCTCTTTATTGCCTTCCTCAATACTCTCCTGACCGTCCTTGTTCTTCTCCCCACGTGCATGGCTCCCATTCATACGGCGCTTCGCACCCCCACCTGTTCTCTCCTGCTGCACTCTCTGTTGGCCGCTGTCCTCACCCTCCTCCCCATTTTTCGTACATTCTTCACTCTCCTTCGTCTCCTTCCCCTCCCCCCCCTCCTCCTCCTCCTCCCCTTCCTCCCCCTCCCCTCTCTTGCTCTTCTTGTTCTTCCCCTTCAAATACAGCTCCACAACTCGCCCAGAGATGATATCACAGCCACCGATCCCTCGTGCTCCATTCACCAATCCATTCTTCTTTCTCCTCGCAATCTTCCCATTCTTCTCGTTCTTCTCACTCCGTTCCCTCTCCCCTTTCCCTCTCCCCTGCCGCTCCACCCCTTCCTTCCTCCCTCCTGTCCCCCTCCCAGCGCTGCCATCACCACGATCACCACACTCGCAACTGCTTTGAGACGCCTCAAACATGCTAGCACCCCCACATCTGCCACTACCCCCGCTGCTAATGCCGCCCTCCCTCCTGTCATTGCTACTACAATCAGCAATGCTACCACACTCCGCAGCAGCGACATCTGTACTTTTCCTCCCACGGCTGCTACATGACTTCTCAGAACTTTCACGCTTACCGTCCCCGTCCGATCGCCCTCTTGCAGTCTCCTTACTTCTCTGTTTCGTTCCCATACTCCTCTCCTCCGTCTCCCCTGTTTGCTTCCTCCCTTTCCCCTCCTTCCCCTCCTTCCCCTTCTTCCCCTTCTTCTTCCCGCCTTTCACCCCAGTATCAGCACACGCAGCACCACCATCAGTGGAAGCGCCACCACCAGTGGTAGCACCACCAGCAGCGGAAGCACCACCATCAGCCAAAGCACCGTCAGCGGTCCCAGGACCTGCCAGCACTAGCGAAGCTGCTGCTTTGAAACCAATGCCACTGACCGACCCCTTACTCCCTTCCTCAGCCCCATCACTCACTGATACCACTGTTGCTGCCACCTCCACTGCTGCTGTGCCTGGGCTGATTGTTTCGGCTTCAGAACCTAACCCACCTAAACCCTCCACTGCTGCACTCTCCCCCTTCTCTACTGCCCTCTCCCTCTCCGCTGCTGCTGCTGCACTCTCACACGTTGCTTCCACTTTCGCTTCTACTGAAATTTCAACAACCACACCCTCCTCCTCCCCCTCCTCAGATCTCGCTGCTTCCTTCAGCTGCCCAGCCTCCTGAACGTGCAGTGCTTTCTCCAACTGCTCGCCCTCCTCGCAACGACTCTTCAGTGAATCTTCACAGACGGCCTTCCCTGTGCTGCTACCGCCACTCCCCGCCCTATCTTTCTCCCCACCCGTCACCACACCATCTCCATCCCTCAAACCGCCCGTCCCCACTTCACCCTCCCCTGCACCACCCTCCCCTGGATCACCCTCGTCTTCATCCGAATCCTCCCACCATTGCTTCTCTTCGGTTTCCTCCGCCGTTTCTCCTTCCACGACCGCTCCTCCGTTCTCTCTGTCTCGCTCCCGCTCCTCCTCTTCGCGACACTGCTCATCTCTGCCTCTCCTCTGTTCCAAAAGCCCATAGCATCCTGTACCGGGTATGCTGCCACCAATCGACTCATCATCCCCTGTCTCCTTTGCTTTCCCTGCTTCTTCTAACGGCCCAGCTACACCCCCGCAGGGTATTAAACTGGGAGCCCCAGCAGCAGCAACACTTTCGTTCCTCTCACGCTCGCTACTGTCACTCTCAGCACTGCCGTTAGGGATTGCGTGCGGATCTCGATGCCCTAAAAGAGACCCCGCTGTTGTCACATCAAATTCGTCACCTGCGACTTTGGTACCTTTCTTAACACTGGGACTCTTCTCGGTTGAGCCTTGGGATGGACTTGCGGTCTTAGCAGCAGCAACTGCATGGGAAGAAAACAAGGATAAGAGACGGGGGAAACGTATAAGACGGTTAGGAGTTCCTAAAAACAAGAATATGGCGGTTAAAGCTGCTTGTCGAATCCGCATAAGAGAATGATAGGGAGCCTGTTAGTGGGTACTCTTAGCAAGGACTTCAATCGGTATATCACCTTCGTTGATGGTGTGTTACTTACCTTGCTCTAGGTTCTCTGGACCCTTAACTCACCCAGCTCTCATCAACTCACCTCGCTCTCGTTTCAACGCACCTTGCTCTCGTTTCAACTCACCGCTCTCGTTTTAGCTCACCTCGCTCTCGTTTCAACTAACCCTTCTCTCATCTATCAACACACCTCGCTCTCGTTTCAACTCAACTCCTCTCGTTTCAACTCAACTCCTCTCGTTTCAACTCAACTCCTCTCGTTTCAACTCACCCTGTGCGAGGAACTGCTCCCTGCGGGCATCTAACTTGCTCTGCTTAAGCTTCGCTGTCTTGTTGGAGTGCTGAGATGACACAAGCAGGAACGAGATGACACGAGCAGGCAAGAGATGACACGAGATGGTACGAGCAGGCACGAGACGGCACAAGCACGAGGTCGCACGGGCAGCAGACAAGAGCAGATACGAGCAGACACGAGGAGATACGAGCAGACACGAGGAGACACGAGCAGACACGAGGAGACACGAGCAGACACGAGGAGACACGAGGAGACACGAGCAGACACGAGGAGACACGAGGAGACACGAGCAGACACGAGGAGACACGAGCAGACACGAGGAGACACGAGCAGACACGAGGAGACACGAGGATACACGAGCAGACACGAGCAGACACGAGGAGACACGAGGAGACACGAGGAGACACGATATGACACAGACATGCATGGTTACGGGGGTACGGGGACGAGGGATGAGCAGGAGGAGGTTAGGGGGAAAGGGGGAGGAGGGGGGATAAAAAGTGGGGGGGTTGAGAAGGGGTAAAAGGACAGAGGGGAGGGGTGCGGGAAGGAGGAGGGAAGGGAAAGAGGTGAGGAAAGCGATAGGGGGGCAGGGATGGATGGCGGGAGGGGAGGCGAGTGAGGAGTGGAGAGTGGGGAGTTGGACGGGAAGAAAAAGAGAGACAGAATCGCAAGAGCTATTGTCATGAAAAGAAGGCAAACTTACTAGTGAAACAAACGTCGTAGGGAGAAATGTACCAGCACAGAACCCACTAAGCTACACTTGCCAGACAAGCATATTCATGCCAACGGCGCATCCTCGACGCACCCTTGAATGCACAATCTAACATACCCGCTTCTTCTTCGTAGATTCTTTCGGCCTGTCGTCTCCCCTCCCAGGATCCTGCTTCTTCGCGTCACCCGACTCGTCAAGACGACAGCTTTCTCCTTCTAACGCGGATATCTCTTCCTGCTTGGTAGACTCCCTTTCCGTCAAATTTTCCGTCTGCCTTGGGATCTCCGCCGGCTTGAGAAGCTCTTCTCTAACGTTACCGTCCTCATCAGCACCGCATGACGATTCTCCATTTCCTACCGAACAGCCTTCCGCTTTGTCTGAAGCGTGGCTCGCTAATCTTGCCATGAATCATAGCGCGAGTATTCTCATACCGGAGCCGCTTCGCGTGGCTCCGGAGCGAGAACCGCACAGTATCGTCCAGAATCGTTTCGAAATTCGAGTCGTACAGAAACTTTCAAAACGGTTCAAAACCGAGAAGAACAACGGCATACAGAGAGCCTCCTTGCGTCCCAACAAGACTCATAGGCAAACCCTAATCCTGACACCATGAGCGAAGAAGAATGCGTTATAAAGATAACCCTAGCTCCTTATTCAATACAACAAGAACGTGAAAAGCGAAAACTATCACACAGAAATGCGAATCAACGTTGACAATCGCCTGCTTCCATAAGATAACATAATTACAAAAAAGTGACACTGCGTGAGGGCGAAGGAATCTGCTTCTCAAACTACACACCGATTTGAAACTCCCAAGCGAGTGTCGGATTTTACCAGTCGTAAGCATGAGTCACGGAACAGAACAGGGCTCACGCACGGGCTCAAGGTGCGGGGACGAAAACAGCAGAACGAGCAGACGGGTCGGGGGGAGCAGGAAGAGCGGTAGGGGCGTGAGGTGAGGAGCGGGAGTAGACGATGCCAGGGAAGAACATTCGCGCGGCCACACTGAGGAAGCGCAACAGGGAAGGGGCGAACCAGAATCTCCGCACCCTTCCGCTTCTCTTGCTGCGATGGGCCTTGCGCGGACAACAAGCTCCCCGCATGCCCGCGAGTTTCTCGAGGATGACCAGTGGATCCGCAGCCGCCAAGTGGCGAGCTTTGGATTGGTGGACAGGCAGCCCCTCATCTAGTACGCGTTGAGGTTATGCGTTAGTCTCGATTAAGGTGTTATCCTCTGGATTTACAGATATGAAACCCGTTACTTGGATTATTTAGTATGCAGCAATCAAACAATCAACAACAAATAAAGTCCACATTCATACAAGACATACCCTCCACCACCTGTTGCTTTACAAGACATACCTGTTGCTTCTCCATAGACACATAATTTATTTCTTTAAACCAAGAACTACAAGTAGTCAACACAAATTGACCACATATATCCCCTAGATTTGCCAACCATATGTTGACTGATAGTCTGCAACCCTTCCCCAATGCTAATGATAAATAACCTGACACAACATAGCTAAAAACTTCCAAAAACGGTGTCCAACGGTATTGTACTTCACTGCGCCTGTATCCTTCCCTGAATCATGCGCCTCCATTCACCTCATCTGCTTCCTGCTGATGGCTAGAGCAACTGCACCAGCTCCTGAGCTCCCTCCAAGCCCTAGCGGCCCTGAGAACAGAGCTGCACCACTGCTGCACCCAACCGACTGCACCTTCCGTCCCTCTCCGCCCCTAGCCACTGCACCACCGCCAGCAGCACCACGATTAGGCTGACACTGTGAAGGAAGCGGAGGACAAAGTACACCAGCAACACCAGCAGCAGCAGCAGCAGAACCTGCTCCTACTCGTGAACTGCTCTCCGGTGATGCTCCAACCCCTTCCAGAACGGACCCTGGGCTACGACCCTGCGGGCTAGCACCAGGAGCGAGCGAGCAGGGAGCAGCAACGAGCGAACCACCAGAAGATGGACTCGGACTATCCACACGCGCCTGTTCCAAAACCGGCGTCCCGTGCGGATCCAGGGACACCTCATGGCGCAGCGGCGCCACCTCCGTGTTTGGCGGCCACGCGGGGGCAGCAGGCAGCGGAGCGGGGGACGGCAGCATGGGGAGCGCGGGGGGGTTGAAGCCGGTCCACGACAGCTTGCTGCTGCCCAGGCTGAACGCGGCGCTGACATCTGACGACGACGACGACGAGCGCGACGACGCGGGCGACGCGGACGACGCAGGCGACGCGGAAGTAGACAGTCCGCTCCTGGACGGACAGTCAAACGCCAAGGCGGCGGCCAACAGGACTTCGAGCGTCCCCGTCCCCATCTCCGATACCGCGTCTTCCGCCATCTCCGACACGGCATCTGCTGCCACCTCCGTCAACGGATCTGCTGCAGCTCCACCTTCGCCGTCGCCGTCGCCATCACCGTCGCCGGCGTCGCTATCGTCGCCGTGCGACGCAGCGCCACCAGCCTCCTGCTCCTCCCACGCTGCGACAATGTGGTGGATCTCCAGCGCGACGGACTCCGGCACGGATGGAAGGGTGGCAGCCGAGGAAAGCTGCGACGGTGAAATAGGGATGCCGTCCGAAATCGAAGGAGCCGTCACAAGATGCGCCGCATCAGAAACCCACGCGTCTGTCTGCGACGACCCAGGAGTCACGAAACCGTGCGACGAATCCGGCACTGACGTCGGTAGCGGTAGCGTCGTCGACGCGGATTCCGAGCCTAAGGCGAAGTGGAGCGTCGGCGGCAGAGGCTGCAGCTCGGGGAATCCCACTTGCGCCGGAAGACGCGGCGACATCGGCGACGCCTGCTGCTGCTGATCTGGCAAACACATGCTACCGCGGGCGTTATCTGGCGGACTGAAGATTCCGGGCCAGCAGAACCCCACGCCGGAGGCGAACGGTCCCAGCTGATGACCGCCATTCGCGCCGGCGATAGCGGACGGCGACGGAGTGAAACTGGGCGAGTTGGGACACGCGTAAAGGCCGGGGAACGGGTGTGCGATGGAGTAAGCAAGCTGATGGTTGTTCTGGATCTGACGGTTCTTCTGACCGTTGTGGCTGCTGCCAACAATTTCCCGCTCTTTCCTTGCTCCAGATCTTCGCGAAGGGGGAGTCCTGGGCGACGGCTGACTCGGGTTACTGTCGTCGCTGCTGAAGTCGCCAACCTCGGCACTGTAGGCCGTTGAATCGGTACACCCATCGCTTGAATTGTTGCTAAAAACGCAACCAGCATTATTTCCAGCAAATATTTCACCCGCTGGGCGGACTCGAGGTGTAGAATGTGACTCAACCGGAAGAACCTGCTGCCCGGCTGGCGGATGATTCTCCGCGCCAATACATGCGGCCTTCTGCGCGGCGAAACGCTGAACACCCGCCGTCGTGACCCCCGCATTCTCCCTCGATTGGTTCGGAACTGGCTTCAGCGCGCGCAGGGCCGCTGTTCCACTTCCCCCGTTCACCAATGGAGCTGGAACCATTATTGGAGCGACCGCCTTCCTTCCCTCATCGCTACCGCACAGAGACACGGCGTCCGTCCCGGCCTCCTTAGTCTCCGGCTCCTGCGGAATCGACGCGCCAGATGTAACGGCGGTTGCCTTGGCGGAACACGTCTCCGCCTTGCTGTCATCGCTCGTCGCAACCGGATCCGCAGGTGTTGACGCAGGCGGAGCAGGGGCGGCCCCTCCGAGTCCAGAAATGCCGGGAATCAAGTTCGCGGGCCACTGAACTGAGATATCGCCAAACACTTTTCGCAGAAGGCTGCTGCGACGTCGCGGAGCCCCGTTCGCGTGGGCCGACTTCATCCAGGGATGCTCGAGGATGTCGCACGCGCGTATCCGCTTCGTCGGGTCGAGTGTCAGCATCCGACGGATGAGATGCTTCGCTTCGGTGGAGATCAAGGGCCACGGACTGCGATCGAAGTCCGGCTGGGCGCGGCAGATGGCGGTGAAAACGGCTTGGTGACCCTTTCCCCAAAACGGAAGGACGCCTGAAAGAAAAGCGAGGGACGAGAGTGTTAGATGTGATTTTTGGTAATCAGAAAGAAAGGGATAATCTAATAGTACTCGTTAATTGTTTCCAACATTAAAACAAAGGAATTCATCTGCAGCAGTACCTGCGAGGCTGGTGTAGAGGATAACTCCGAGGCTCCACACGTCGACTTCCACGCCGTAGGGTTTTCCCTTGATAACTTCAGGCGCCATATAGAACGGACTACCGACGACTCCTTTGATCCCCTTTCCCTCATTCACGGCGATCGCCAGCCCGAAGTCCGCGATCTTCACTTCAACATCCTCGTTTGAGTGCGATGCGCTCTTCGCGATGAGGATGTTTTCCGGCTTGAGATCGCGATGGGCGAAGTCTTTAGCGTGCATCGCGTTGACGGAAACCACCACTTGCCTGCCAACAAAAACCAAATGATTGCAAATCCATTAGTCCAGCAGACTAAAACTCTCAGAACTAATTTATAAGGTTGAAACGAGATGCATCACCGTGACGATACTTCTAAGCGCTTTTAAACCTAAAACGGATCCTTCTGTACCTAAAGATATGCGCCGCTTCGCCTTCAGAGAGTCGCTTCTTCCTCGCGATGTGGTCGAAGTAGTCGCCGCCTTGGCAGAACTCCATAACCAGATGCACCGCCAGCTCGTCGTCGAATATCTCCCTCAGCTGAACCAGCCCGGGCGTCCCGTGCAGATGAATCATCGTCGTCATCTCCGCCGCGAACTCTCTCAGGTCTTCTTCTTTCTGCGTAATTGAAAATATAAATACATAATTAGTGATTCTATAAGGAGATTTAACCACTTTATTGCCACCTGATTAAGCCTAAAAGGGCGAAGACGAATCGCGTACCTGTATCTTGTCCTTGAGAATCGTCTTGCATGCTAGATGCTCTCCCGTCGTCTTGTCCGAGCATGTTCGCACCACGCCGAAGTGGCCTCGCCCAAGCTCCCTCCCGAAGCGGTAACAGTCGCCGATGGAGGGGCGAGTAGGCTTTAATCCGTCGAAGGCCATGTTAAGTCCAAATAGGCGACTGCTGCCGATGGATCCAGTTAGCGCTTTAACGTACGCCAAAACATCGCTGTTGTCGCATCCTTCGCGGACGATCAATCGGCGGGGAGATTCCATACGGGAATTAGAAGATCCGCAGTTTGATGCCGCGGCTGAGGCTGCTGCCAACTTTGGTAAGTCGATAGCAGGCAGAAACGAGAGAGTATCGGTGGCCATTTTCTGAACGACCCGTGACGATAATCGGTACTAGAAAGGGATAGCGGAATTCGATCCAGTTCTGATGATAGGAGGATGAGATAAGAGCTAGTAGTCTCAGAAGGCGGAAAAACTAGGGAAGGAGGCTCAGCTGTAGAAGTGCGAACTGAGAGTGATTTGACACTAATTAGAGGTCTATATCATATGAGGCTTCGCGTTGTGCTCTGGGTTGATGGGAATATGCTTTGCGTGCGTCTGGTGGTGGAATCAAGCACGACCCACAAGTCACAAAGTCAGGGAGGAGTCACGAGAGCAAGAGTGCCGCCATGCGCGGCAAATGACGCCTCGGGAGGTGATGCCATTTCCGCCGCCAATTGGACAGAGGGTGTTTGCGTTGCAGTGCGCTTCCGTCCAAGGGTGCACCTGATTGGAGTTTCCGACGCGCGGAGCTGAGCTGTACATCTTCAGCAGTTGTCGTTTTGCTCGTCGACTCGAGTCAAATGCAGCCAGTTTGGATACAAGCGCGCCAAACAGGCGGTGGTCAGCGAGAGAGTTATCCATTCAGAGTAAACCACGTGCCAATCTCGTCAACCCATCGCCGAGCCACGATGAAATCGAAAGAGGTAAGGCGAAGCCTCGTCAAAACTTCGTCGACATTTCGCTTCGGGCCAGTTTGGCGCTCTCTCCGTCCAACCCAAAGCAGAAAATATATTCGCTAAAGCGGAGCCCAGTGACTCCTGCTTCAGGCCGAATTGTATGTGTTCTGTGCTTACTTTTAGCACAAATGTAATCAAACACATTATCTGAACCGAAACGAAACAAATGAAGGCAGCTGCATTCAGAGCTGAAAAAACTATGCACAATGTCATAATGAAAGTTTGCCTGCTATTTGGATACATAAAATAACCAACTAAACAAAACTAACTAAAGCTAACTTAATTAAACTACTGTACTGACGGGGAGGTGAAGGACTAGGGCTTTGCCTAAAGGGGATGCTGCAATGATTTTGCCTTCTCTATCTGGTGCAGCTGCACTAACTGAAGTGACTGTAACGAGGAGGCTGCTATATGGAGAGGACCAACAACCGGTACTCCAGCGCTGGGAAGTGGCGTAGTGAATGCCGGGCAAGGTTGCTTGAAGTGTGACTGTACGCGTAACTGTATTGATCGTACTCCTCTTACTGTGGCTGAGCCTGCAATCCCTGATGCAACTCCACCTGTGTCTGAGAATGTGACACAAGCGGGTGTGACTGTGGTGGTTGTGGGTGTGCGTGTGGCGGGAGTGGGTTTGGCTCTAAGGGTTGAGCTTGCGTGCTCTGCTGGTTGCCTGCTTGCCGTCTCATCCCGAGCACGTTGAGCCGCTTCACCCGCTTCATTTCAAGGGCTGTTGGCGGGCAGGTGAAGGGGCGGTCGAATGGGCAGGAGGGGAGGTGAGGGAGGGGAGGTGCAAAAGGACAAAAAATGTAATGCTTGACAGCACGGATTGGGTCAACATGGGAGCAACAACATTTAGCTCGGGTCAACAAGGGTCAACAAGGGTCAAACTTCCTCTGCCCCCATCTTCAATGCTCTCTTCTTTCCTTCTCCATCCAGGTGGTGACCTGCCCAGCTCACTATTTCCCCCACACACCACCACTCTCCCCCACTCCTCACACCCCACGCACAATACCCCCATTCTCTCCCCCATGCACAACATCCCCCCCCCTCCCCAACTCACTCTCCCCTCTTCTCCCTCACTATCACTCACCATCCTCCGCCCCCAACTGCAGCAATGTCTCGCCTCAAAAGTCTCCGTTCCTTTCCCATTAAAACTCCCATTCTCTCCTCCTTCTTTCTCGCGTCCTCTTTCCCTCACCTCACGCCCAGCTGCACCGCTCTATTCTCCGTGCGGGCGGCAAACTGCCCAGCCCACTCTCTGCCCATGTCCATAATCCCCCCCTTCTTTCTCCTCTCCAGGCCTCATCACGCCCATCCCCTCACTCTCTCTCCCTCCCTCGGCCGCCCCCTTCTCCCCTCAAGGCCCCATCCCACCCATCCTCTCACTCTCTCCCTCACCTTCCTCCGCCCGCCCCCAGCTGCAGCGCTCTCTTGTCCATGTGGGCGGCAAACTGGCCAACCCACTCTCTGCCACCACCTTCAAAACCACACCCCTCCCGCACCCACCAACCTCTCACTCTCCTTTCGAACCCCTCCCCCTCACCTTCCTCCGCCCCCAGCTGCAGCGCTCTCTTCTCAGAGTGGGCGGCGAACTGGCTGCGGTCCCACGCTGACATGGCCAGCAGCGCTGCAGGGGGAGGGCGGAAAAAGGGGGGAAGAGGGGAAGGGGGAAGGGGGGAATGGGGAGGGGGAAAGAGTGGGAGAAAGGGGACGAACAGGTTGCGATCCCACGCTGACATGGACAGCAGCGCTGCAGGGGGAGGGGGGAAGGGGGGAGTGGGGGAGGCAGGAAAGGGGGGAGGGGGGAAGGGGGGAGGGGGAAGGGGGGGAGCGGGGAAAGAGTGGGAGAAAGGGGGCGAACTGGCTGCGATTTCACGAGCTTGCCAACGTGAAACAGCTGCGGCGCTGCAGGGGGGAGTGGAAGGTGGAGGTGGGGGATGGGGATGCGGGGAAGGGGGAGTCGGAGAGGTGGGAGGTGGACGGGGTGGGAAGGGGAGAGAACGTTGGTGTGTGTGGCTGCTATTCCATGCGACACGCAGGAGGAGGAAAGGGGGAAGTGGGGTGTGGGGGAGGGGGGGGGGGGGGGAAGAATGATATGGTGTGTGGCTGCTATGGACATGGACAGAAGCGGTGCAAGGAGGAGGAAAGAGCGGAGGGGGAAATGGGGAACGGGAAAGGGGAGAAGGGGAATCAGGGAGCGGGTATGGGGGAGGGGGGGTTATAGGTGAGCGGGAAGAGGGGCGAGGAAAGGGGGGAATACATGTAGTGAGGGCGCTATAGTCTGACTCATCGCAGCTTCGCAGAAACTTCTGCAGTTGCATGAACCGAACACGATGAGGGGGATCCGCGGGGGCCGCGGCTCCCCCTCCCCCGTCGTTCTGCTCCGCCCTTCCACAATCCCGCCCTTCCGCGTTCCCCCCGACCTCCGCCTCCGCGCTTCCGCCGTCTCCACTACCTCTGCGCGCATTACTCGCAGCGGCATCTAATCCGCCGCCTCGGCCGCCTCCGCCGTCTCCGCCTACTTCAACAACCGTCACAATCGGGGCTTCAGCTGCGGCGCTTCCGGCGCGATCGTCGAGTTCGCCGCGGCGATCCGCATTCGAGTCTAGCAAACGCGAGCTTGTTGTGGTGGCATTTGCGACGCGCATCTTACGGATCGTCTGCGTAGGGGTTTGCGACGTGTGGCGGCAACGGTTGCAACGGCGGTAGCGGTGTTGCTAGTGCGGGTTGTGATGTTGGCTGGCTGGCGGAGGTGGCGGAAGGGGGTGGCGGAAGCGGGTGGCAGAAGGGGGTGGCGGAAGGGGGAGGCGGAAGCGGGTGGCGGAAGAAGTACTAGCGAGTGGGAGACGCTGGTGGACTAAATCCAATTATGCTACGACGGTAATGACGCGACGGTTGCGCGCGCCCGTGCATCACAACCGGCGCACTAAACCGCTGGAGGGGGGTTAGCGTAGCGCCGCGAAGACACGTTGGTTGAGAACGAGAACATGTAGCGTAATGTGGAAAGCTCTTGAGGGTGTGACGGGTGAAGATTCGGCACAAATGAGAAGTTTCGCCGATTATAAAGATAATGTATCAGGGGTTTTTCGAGATTGTGTTTTGAAGCGAACTAATAATGTAAAGTATGATCACAACCTTTGCTATAAAATCTCAAGAGGTAGGGTGGAATGGAAAGAGTAATTATGCTCATAAGTATGCTCCATTGAGGACATGGAGGAATTTTGTACAGGAATTAGGTCCTAAACAATATGTAGGTCAAAGCGATTGACCTCAACCCCACAGTCTTCAACAAGGGTGTTTAATCGATTATTCGCGCCTCGTAGAAACACACATTTCTGGAGGTCGCGTCGCGACTTCGCGTCATCCTCTCCTGGTTAGTCAGCACGCTGCAGCGCGCTGGGCCGCAGCGCCAACAGCAGCGGGAGAAGCCGCTGCACCATTGGAAACCGCAACGTGATTCTTGTTCGACTCCGCTTCGCTACCAACAACGGATTGCTTCACAGCGCGGATACCGTACAGGTGACTCAGCACCCACGGGTGACTCAGCACCTTCACCGCCGTCGGGCGCCGCCTCGGGTCGCTCTGGAGCATGCAGCGAATCAGACTGCGCGCCTCGACCGACACTCCCGCCCACGCGGGCCCCGAAAAGTCCAGTTTCCCGCGCAGAATCGCATCGTACACCGCGGCGTCGGTCTTCCCCCAGAACGGCGGCCGGCCGCAGAGCATGATGTAGAGAATCACGCCCAGAGACCACACATCGGCTGCGTATTCGTACTCGCCAGTGAGTACCTCGGGTGCCATGTAAAAGGGCGAGCCCGCTGTACCGTAACCCATGCGCCCGTTATCCAGAGCGATCGAAAGGCCGAAATCTGCGAGCTTCGCGGT